GGGAAGGGAGAGTGTTTTTCGGGGGGGATTTTGAGGGCAGGAGGAGCCCTGGGGAGGGGTCTTGGGGGGGTGGGGGGATGGGTACCTCTTTGGGGGTGCAGAGGGCAGCCTTGGAGGCATGGTGAAGTCCCGTGTGGTGGGATCCCATAGGAGATATTGATGTAGTGGGGGTCAGGGGACCCCTGTGGGGTTTTGTGGGGGGAGGTGAGCTCTCAGTGGACCTGTGGGGATTTAAGGGGAGAGCTCTGAAGGTAGTGGGGGGCTTGCGGGGTTTAGGAGAGATTTGGGGACCCCTGTGGGGCAGGCCTGCAGATGGGGAGCCCTCTAGGAGGGCAAGGGGGCGAGGAGGGCCCGTGGGTGGGCCAGGAGAAGGGCCCTGGGGCTGGTGGGGCACGGAGGGGACAGGGGGCTGGGGCTGCCCCAGGCCTTGCATGGAGGAGAGGAGCAGGAAAGCAGGGCTTGAGGGGGTTTAAAACAGGTGCATATATATATACCCATGGAGGCTCGGGGTGGTTAAAATAATATATATGCATATAAAAAAAAAAATATGTGTTTTTCTTTTTAACCTGCAAGTAAGATGAAAGCGAAGGGCTCTTAGAGAACAGCAGAGGGACCGCCGAGAGTTCAGGAGAGTGGATGCTCAGGCCAGGGACTGGTTTTGGAAGGGGGGCTGGAGAAGTGATGTGCCAGGGGTGGGTTCTGGAGGGAGTGATGGAGGAGCTGTGAGAGGGGTTTGTGTCTGGAGGATGCACCGGTGAGAAATGTGATAGGAAAAGCCCTGCATTGTGCCTGGGTGTGATGCAGTCCTGGAAGGGCACCGAGGACCTGTCCTGGGCTGAGCTCCTGCTCTGGTGTGGTTTGGGTGGGGAAAGCTCCCCAGACCTGAGTGGAGGCTGCAGGAAAGTCTTAAACAATGTCCAACAGGTTGGCTTAGTGCATCCCGCTGCCAGTCTGCTCTGGCGAGGGCTGAGAGTTCCTGTTCTGGTTTTGCCTAAAGTCTGGCTCTTGCTCCCAAAGCTGGGATGCTCCATCTCATTCCCCGAAGGAAGAGACTGGAGTTTCCTGGGCATCCCTTGTTTTTCTCTCCTTTATTGAAAGGCGTTTGCTAGGGAAGGCTTCACCTGCACAGCCAGGCTCGGGGGGAATGAGAGGAGAGGAAGAGTGACCTGTGTGAGCAGCCGTTCCGAGGAGGAGACAGCATCGGCTTTTTTTTCCTGCCCTGCTCTCTGCTCCTTCCAGCAGCTGAGGGAGCGGAGGGCTAACGACGCAGCCTCCTGGGGAACAGATTGCGCAGGAATTAATGTCAGTTATGGAAAGGATTTTTTTTTTTTTTTTTTTTTCTGGGGGTGGTGCACTGTTGTCTCATTTACACTTTACAGTCATGCTGTGATACCGACCACAACAAACCTCGCTACATTTGAGGGGTCGCCTGGGAGGTGTGCGAGGATGAGGAGGATTTTCCTGGGGAGCCGACGAGTAGCTCTTCTTTCATATGTGCTTGGGACAGCTCCTGGGGAAGCTCTGGCTTTGCTGCTGCCTGCAAGAGGAAATAGTTATGGTATAAAAAGTGCAAATTTGAGGTGCAGTGGTTCTGGTTCGCTTCCCTGTGCAGACCAGCGTTTGTTGGCTGATGCTTGTGGTGAGCAGGGAAGCGGGCGGCACTGCAGCAGCGGCCCTGGCAGCAGCGCCTCTGCACCTCTCTGGCTAGTTGGGGCTAAATTGCTTTTTCAGAGGAGGCCATGCAGCATCCCAGGCTGTTTGTGTGCTGGGTACAGCACTTATTGGCTGGAAAACTCATGCTATAGTCAGAAAAACTGAATCGGCATCAAATAGGTCCAAGAAGAGATGGTTGACATTGTTGGGGTCTCACAGATGACCCCATGCTTGGCTGAGTAGGGACAGGGGCAGTGGAGGAACTCGCTGAAATGTTCTCCTGGTTTGCTTCTGGACAACTCTGTGCATCAGGCCTGTAAATATCTCTGGTTGGATTTGTTTTCCTTAACGTTTTTCCCCTCCAGAATGCCCCTCTTCCAGTGGAAAGCCTAATCACGCAGATATCCTGCTTGTAAACTTACAGTATGTCTCAGAAGTGGAAATAATTAATGACCGCACGGAAACGCCTCCTCCTTTAGCTTCACTCAATGTTAGCAAGGTAAGAACCTGTCCTCGTGGGCTCAGAGGCGTTTGGTCCAGGGAGGGAGGGAGGGAGGGAGGGATTTGGGTGGGGAGATCCCTGTTAGGGACGAGGTAGCTTTTAAACTTTACATCACCCGCTTCAATCATGACTTACGGTGGCTCTGCTAAGGGTTTAGATGATCGTATTTTGGGTGTGTTAAGGCTCCGTTACCTGCTGCTGGGCTTTTCTGTAGCGAGGCCTCAGCCGGCTGACCCTCTGTGCTTCGGGATTGCTCAGCGAGGGAGCTGAGGTCCTGGGTGAGGGAGAGGGAACTCCCAGCTTCGTTTCATCCAAGAGACAGTCCTCGTGAGTCTGAATGAGGGGCTGGGCGCTGCGCTCGCATGGGGAGCTGATCCTGTTGCTGCCCTCTGCTCCTCTGGGCGTCTACACACCCTTTGGTCTGTATTTATGGTATGTTTGCTCCAGCGTGGGCTGGGGATCCTGGCGTGGTCCTGCCACGTAGATTTAAGTACCTGGGTGATTGCATTCTCCTGTTAAAGCACTGGTGAATGGCTCTGTCCTGTGCCGAGCCCTGTGCCCGCCTCGGACGCTGCTCCGCTGTGTGCCGGCCTCCTGCAGCAGGAGTAAATCTGGATTTCTGTGCTGGCAAGCGGGTGCAAGTTGCTGCCTGAAATGCTGACTGAGAATTTCAGCCTCTGGGGTCTTTTTTAGTAACTTTGAGGCTGCAAAGCACCTCTTCGCTTGGGGAAAAGTCCAGTGATTTCGAACCTCCTGGCTTCGTGCAGCCCCAGTGCCTTTGCTTTGCTGGCCAGAGAGAAGGGAGGATGGAGCCTTTTGTAAAGGTGCAACAGGTTCTTCCCCTGACAGCAAATGACTCGACTACTCAAATCAAAACCTTCTGGAGAAGATGGGCAT